ACTTAATTAACATAAGTTATTTAATTTAAATTTAATAATATAGAATTAATAAATATTTATATTATATGTGAGATATCAAAAAATTTAATTTTTGGTGATTATGCAAAAAAGAAGTGAATTTCGTATTTAAATATTGTTAAATTTAATAATTATAATATGAAATTAATGTAATATATTAATTATAATATAAGTGAAAATAAAGAATGTGTGTTTAAAATATTAGTATATATAATTTTTTTTATTAGACATTTTAAAATATCAGCAACAAAAGTTATGTTGCTAAAAGCATGAAGGATTACTATTCAGCTCACTATCAGCAACAAAGAGTATGTTGCTTATAATACACCTATAATCACCATCAACTAGTCTTTCCTAACTTTTAGCAACACAAGCCATGTTGTTGAAAATCTAGTTTCAGCAACATGGCTTATGTTACTAAAAATGAGACAAAGTTCCGGTCATCGGTTTACCACTAATTTTCAGCAACATGAGCTATGTTGCTGAAACCCCATCTTCAGCAACGTGGCTTATGTTGCTGAAGAGGGTGAGGAAATTCACCTCCTCTCCCCATCGGATTCCAGTAAAAGTTTTCAGCAACATAAGTTATGTTGTTGATATATTAGCAACATAATTTTGGTTGGTAATATATTACGCACCAAGCCTTCTCCAACAAAACTTTTAGCAACTAAACCCATATTGCTGAAGGACTTTCAGCAACATGGAAAGCACTTTCAGCAACATGCAAAGCACTTTCAGCATCATGTTGTTGAAGGGTTGAATTTTAGTAGTGAGGTAAATTTCATATTATTTAATAATTAATTTTTTATTTTTTCAAATCTATAATATCATTTAATTAATTAATTTAATGACATAATTTATCTCATATAATTGATTTTAAATTGTGGCCCTCTATTATCACTACTTTTTTTTGTAAAATAGTTGCAATTTAAAACAAAAAAATATATATTTACACAATATTATTACTATAAATTAAATTTTAATACTAACTAAAATATTACTTACACTAACCGACTGAGCAACAACGCCTAGTGCTATATTATCAATACTCTTTCAAATCATACAAGTTTTT